TCATTTCTGTCATGTATTCACGGATGAAAAGATCATAAGAAAAAATCTCAAGCATGATAGCAGATGAAGAACCCTTATTTGAGAAACAACACGACATGCAAGAATAATCTAACAAATATGATTAATTCGAAGATGAATTCCATTCAAAAAGAAAAGAAAAAAAACCCAAAATTAAAGAGAGATACGTACCCCTATATTGATTGCTGAAGTTCTTTTTCCTTCAATCTTCCTCACTGTAACAACAAACCAAACTCAATTTATGATTTACTTCTCAATTTTCGACATCACAAAGGAAGAAACGAATGTAGAAAAACAAAAGAAAACCTCAAACCTTTTTGTACGAAATACAGAACTGAATTAGTATAATCGATCAGTGGAAGAGTTAATCCTCGTCCACTTTCTACAATTGGTGATGCTGAATCCGTTTGCCCCCTTACTATTATGCAGTGAGTAGATGAGGATTCTTGCTCTGCAAAACATGGGTGAGTGAGGAAAAGTGTTCCAAGTTTGAGGGTCGTGGTGGGTTTTCGACCGTTTCAGTTTTCTTTTCAGTTTTCTTTTTTAAATCCTTAATCCTATTTCAATAGAACGTGCCAGAATAAACTGATAAGAAGAGCAACTGCTCTGTAATGGGTATGTACTTATTTTGTTTTCTTTTTAAATTAATTAAAGTTCTGCGTAATTGTTCTTTTACAATTGTACCCTGCTTTAATTAAAATTGTGCGCTTTTAATTTTTTCTTTGACAAAGGGCATATTCGGGGTTTTTGAATGTTTCATCATTCTCTGCATTTTGCTTTATATATACTAGCCTTTTCGCACGCGCTTTCGCGCCCGCAAGAGACTTTTTTTAAAAAAATTTAAATTTATTTTAGAATTAAAAAAGATAATGGGTGGTTGGGTTCCATAAAAAGAGGATCCATTATTTGATTTTTCTTTTAATTTTAAATTTTTTTTAATATGAAAAAGTGTGAATTTACCATAGTATCCTCATTTAATTAATAATTTCAATTTTTAATGTTTGCATTAACCAATGGCATTTTCTGGTATTTTGAATGTTTCACCATTCTCTGCCTTTGGCTTTATATATATAGATAGATATATATATATATTATATTTCAGGAAATTAAATATTTTGTTACATATTTAGGAGGCAGCCAATGAACAAAATATCGATAATTTCACCTTTTTTGGGGATGCGATATTTTAGCACATTTCCACCAATTTATCATCAATTTATCGATAATTTCACCGATATTTCGGGAACGATAAATGGTAAAAAATTAAAGAACTCACATAAATACACTCACACACGCGCATTGGGGTTCGAACCCCTCCTCATTCCAAGATATGTAGCTTCATAACCACCACACTAGTCATCACTTTGTGATTATAAACTATGAAACCTCATATTTATAATACTTGCAAGCTGTTTCTTAAAATAGAAATTAACATAATTACTTATTGTTTTATAGTTACTTAATTACTTAATATTTCTTTTCTATTTAATCCATTTAATGTTATTGATTATTTTATTATTCATTATAAGTACTTACATTACTAAATTCCCCTTCAAATTGTTGCTTAATTACTTAAATCTATATACTCATTTTCTTTATTTACTATTTAATTCTTCCTTGGATAAATTTATTTATGTTCTTAGTTAATTTTCAATCTTCACTATTATTTTTTAAGCATGGTAAAGTGCCTAATTTTCATGACAAATCAAGTTGGTTTACATCTTTAATTATTTTTTAATTTTTGATAAATAATAAATATAAGAATGTGTACCACAGAGTGAATAATGTGAAATAAGGTTACTCATGTATCTTACCATGCAATTTATAAAGTGTAAAATATTGTATTTTCTATTTAATTCTTCCTTGGATAAATTTATTTATGTTCTTAGTTAATTTTCAATCTTCACTATTATTTTTTAAGCATGGTAAAGTGCCTAATTTTCATGACAAATCAAGTTGGTTTACATCTTTAATTATTTTTCAATTTTTGATAAGTAATAAATATAAGAACGTGTACCATGTCCAGTGAATAACGTGAAATAAGTTTACTCATGTATCTTACCATGCAATTTATAAAGTGTAAAATATTGTACTAAAAAATGATAAATAAATTACTAGGGGATGTTTAATTCTCTTTCATTAATTACTCCAAATTTTCAAAGTCACAGAGTTTATCAGCTCGCAATATAATCAACTTAAATCACTCAAACCCACTATGCAATGCATTTCTTTCCAAATTTTTGTGTCAAAATAATAGATGATTGACTAAATAAACTTCTTCTAAAGTTTCATTAAAAATTTCCATGTATTTATCATAATTTCCGTGGTTTTTATCCAATTTTTATCGGTATCGATATTTCCGTGTTTTTGAACCACCGTTATTTCCGAAACTATCGATATTTAAGACCTTGGAGGCAGCCCATTGAGTGTAGCAATCATGAAATCGTCATCTCAGACCTTCACACCGGCTTGAGCAAGCTGATCTCGAACGTGCTTTAAACGAAGAAGAAATCTTTCAATAGAATCCCGCCCCCCCTCCCCCTCCCCCCCTTTTTGAGCGGTTTAAAGCTCAGTCTTCAAGTGATTAATAAGGGCTCGTGAAAACTGAGTCATAAAGATCCACCAAATTGAGCCAAGCATCTCGAGCCGTCTTAGTCCCAATGACATATTCCAAGGATGAATCCGACAAAGTGGCGATGAGCAAGCTAAGAAGTGCCTTGTCAGTCTTCAGCCATTCCTTGTAACCGGCAGTGACTTGAGATGTAACACCCTCTTCGTCCAAGATTGCAAATTTTGGTGGCTGAGAGATACAGCCATCGAAATGCCCAAAAAGCTCATACCCCTACAACACAAACTCCAATTGAAAACTCCACTTCAAGAAATTGTTGTCACCGAGACGAATGGTAACCATACTAAGCAGGCCATCAATCTTGATGGAGGGAGAAGAGAGAAGAGGCCATTATGAAGCAGGGAGAACCCTAGAATTGCAATTGAATGAAGAAAATGAGAGAACTGGGAAGAAAAGAGAAGGAGGAAAGGAGTGAAATGGCAGCCAGAGAAAGCGTAGAAAGGATCGATTGATTATGTGAAAGCCACTGAGGGCTCTGATACCATGTTAACCAACATATTCAGAGAAGTATGAGAAAGAGATCTGAAGAAGAAGAGGGAAAGATAAACAGAGAGAAATTGCAATCTTGATTTCTATATTGCTTAATTTCCTTTTAGCTATAGCACTATTACACTTTATACCTATAAAGCAGGGCTTAACCGTCTAACCAATCCAGCTGTCTAACGTCCTCACTACTAACAACTCACGTGCTTTGCACACCTAACTCACTAACTGTTTAATATCAACAGTTCACAAGACGGAGGCCAACTCTAACAATTGTTCCACACTTGTCCGCTTCATATTTCAAAACGAAGAGCACCAACTATAAACAATTACACCAATTCCAGTGTATCACCACAAATTAAATGAGATAGAATTAGAAATAAAAAATTAAAAAATTTAAAAATAATTCGGCCTAAGCGGGTCTAGGCGGTTTTTTTTTTAATATCGATTTTTTTTTTCCTGACTTTAAAGAAAACCCTCAAGTTGTTGCCTCCTTCACCACATTAAAGAAAACCCTCAAGCTCTTTAATCACCAAAATATCGAGGTTGTATAAGAGTCGATCCAGGTAGTTAATGGCAATGTATGGTATGAAAAGGGTCAAGGTTGCAAGAATATTGTGGGCGGAACCACACTAAGGGCTACAGTGGGCTGTAGCCCAGTGTGGTTTTTTAAGAAAAAAAAAATATAACTTATATATTTAACTTATTTTCAATATTAGCCCAGTCAGTGGCAGTGTACAGATTACCTTATTTCCACTTTCAACATTGAAGTAAATGTCTTTGTCATTTTACTTTTATTTATTTTTATATTACTCCATTTACTTAAGTTTACAATGTAAATAAGGAAGTACCCCCCCATTTGGATTCAAATAAAAATACTAGAAAATCAAATTCCTATCAAATCAAAATATGAAAAATCGGTTTTAGTGCAAAATACGATTTAGGCTAAAAATGATGGCTCATTAAGTCAATATATACTTCATACTAAATTCCCATAAAATCAAGTTTTCTTATTTGATGTGTGAGGAATAAAAGCCGCCAAAAATTATCTTCAAAAAATGATTATTCCAAAAACCCATTTTTCATACTTAGTCAATATTTTTACATCAAACAATTTTTCATGTATGATATAAATGCATGAAGGAACTATGGTCAAACTAGGTAAAAAGCCTTAGATGTTCAATCCACTATGGTGTTAAACCCTATTTGGTTTATGTTAAAACTTATTGAAATTTAGTTTATGGAACTATGAATTAGCGTGGTTTATATGATTTAATGTTTACTTTTATTTCTACAAAGACTATAGAAATTGTAACTACTAAAAAAAATAATCATTAAATTTTAAGCTAATAACTTTAGCTAACCCACCTGTTGAAAAATTCCTGGTTCCGCCGTAAATTATGCAAGAAGAGAGAAATTAACTGACGAAATAGAGCTCACAAGTATTCTCTTCTGAGGCAAAAAGATTTTGAGCAGCTTAAGGAATTTTGTGAGGGCATGCGGTCAGATTCTGAGGCAAATAGATTTTGACAAGAACAAACAGTGTGTCACAGACAGCCGTTGGTTATAGGCTCGCACGCGGGATTTAGTTTTAGGAATATTCCTTGGGAAGAGAGAGAGAGAGACTAGAAGCGGGGGTATGAGAGTTTTGAGTGAATGAAAAGTTTCCCCGTGGGCACAATCTTTAGACTGTGGGCGACTTGGCATATTACTATTCATCAATAATATTCCATTGCATCTTATCTTTTGTCTGATTCCAACATTGCAATAAAAATTATTATTATTTTATAGACTCAGTTAACAGAGCTTCTTGATCTAACATGGCATGAACGAAATCTAATAATAACAGAGCTCCATTGCTTTCATGTAAACTCAGTTGGTGCCACAAGGAGTTACAAATTAATTTACAAAATCTAATAATTTGAAAGTATATTATTCTCTGGACTTCCTGGCAGAACTTCTTCTTCTTCTTCTAACTAGTCTTGAATATCGACCCCAATATCATTCTCCTCCTTCCTCACTGCAACCGACGAGACGAGACGAACGAATATCTCCACCATCCTGTGGCACTACCAGGTGGACTCCGCAGCTTTTAAAATACAGTGGATCATAATGTCGATAAAAACTAGCTCGACACATAAAAGGCGGCAGCGGCCACGTAGACTGATTTAGCTTTGCATACTCATCCATCTTACAAAATGGAACATAGAGCAGCCACACGTGAGTTGACTCAAACATTGTTGAACCAAATTCAAACATAACACCATAAATTTGTTCTTCATTGATGTGAATAACGGCATATAAAGTACCGAATCTAGATGGCGTTTCAAAAGCAACAGAGAGAGCCAATCCTTTCTTTTCCCGTCTGAAATCTCGTGGGATTTCGAAGGAAATGTCACAGTTCTTTACGGGCTTCTTCAAATTCTTACGACAGTTGAACCACATTGGAACTTCACTTCCTGGAAATACGACCCCGACTGACAATTGCTTACAAGCGATCAGAAAGTGATCAGAGAAATGAGCCGCAATGTCGAGCAGTCTCCAGCAATTAGACAAGTCCATCGTTATATGCCTCTGTAACTCTTTACCTTCCAAGATGTTTTGCAATTTCGGAAATCTTTCCAATGATATGCAACCACTCACATCTACTGAATGTATGTTTGGTGGAAGATCTGAAATCTCTAAAAGCCTCTTGCAGCCAACCAAGTTCAGTTTTTGCATGTTGACAAATTTGGTAATCCATTCGGGAAGTCTAACAAAATTGGATCCTGAAAGATCAAGTATGCATAATCTGGACCAACAATCAAGAGTCCAAAGGAAATCGATTTCGCATAAATTGGCTCCTTCTATATATAAATGGGAAAGATTGGGAAGCGTTAAAGAACCAGCAATGTCATTTGAGTTGGTTGGAATCACCTTATTTGGAAATCTCACAAGCTTCTGGCATCCACGAAGATAAACAAATTGAAGATTCTGTAACTCATAAATGCTGCATGGTAGATTTGTGAAGTTTTTGCAGTTGCTTAACTTTAACGAATACAGACGAATGAGATATCTGATTGATGAAGGCAATTCTTCGATGGCAGTGCGGGATAGGTTCATCTCTCCCAATGATTCCATCTTTCCAACAATCTCAGGGAAATTTTTTAGACTTCCACAACGACTAAGATCTATAGATTCCAGAGATTTTAAGTGAACCCTTCCTGGAAGTTTCGTAAGTTTACGGCATCCTCTCATACTCAAGCAAATAAGCTTATCAAGGAATCCAACAGAAGGATGAACCTCAACTAAACTTGTACAGTAGTTTAGATTCAAGTCCTCTAAATTTGGGAATCCAGAGAAGTTGGGGGTTTCTGTGAGGAACTTGCATCCCTCCAAACTCATAGATTTTAGATTCTGCAACCTCTATGGAAAGGGAAAAGAAAAAGATCAACCGATAAGCTTTACTTAAAGAGATGTAAACAACAACTTCATAAAGTAAACTCTTGAAAATACCAATGTATGAAAATAAATTGAAAACACGTACCTTGAATCCTTCTCCAAGTTGTGACAAGCTGCTACGAGGCATATTGATTTCAACAAGTTTCTTTGGATTAAAACTCGATGGAAAAGTTTGCAACGGACATTCAGGCCAATCAAGCAACCTCAACTCGTTGGAGAGATAATCCACACGAGTTTCAGAAAATCGTGCATTTCTATTTATGAAAAGTTGAAGATTTTTCATCTTTGAGAAGCTATTAGCACTCAAGGATATCTCATGTTCTTCTGGAAAATTCATCATGATGCCTTTAATTTTACTCGTCCCCTAGTATGAAAGCGCAATAGTATCAAACGATGATAAGATTTTCTTTGTTGTCAAGTTGATTATTTATGTATATATATTCATATTGTATATAATCTACTTAGTACTTACAGTATTTTCTTCTAGGACATGACAAATATCCTCATAAAACCACAATCTGCTTCGTTTTCCTGGCTCGGATGGTGACTCTTGGCGAACTATTTCTTTACCCATTTCTTCTAGCAAGTGATGCATCCCAATACAATCTCTCTCATCTATATTTATGAGGGCCTTTTCCGCGAGCAATACAATACTATACTTAGGGTTGAGGTCACAAATTTCTAGTATTTCTATCACATAGTTTTTATTTTCCCCTCTAAAGAAACAAGCGATGTGCAGGAAAACATTTTTCACATGCTCTTCTAATGCATTATAACTTATTTTGAGAATTTCCTGAATCTCTTTGTTTGGAACTCTTTTATAGCCATCTAATGCAGATTGCCATTGATCAACACTTTTACCAAGTAGAAGTGAGCCAAAAACCATTAGAGCTAATGGAAGGCCTTGAGCATAGTGTACAATAGTTTGTGCGAGTTTCTCATACTCCTCATGCAAATGTTTGTTTCTTGAGAATCCATTCCAACTGCTGAAGAGCTGAAGAGCTTCATGAGGATCTAATTCCTTGACCTTGTATATCTGATTGACTTCATGCGCACTTAACAAATGCTTATCTCTTGTTGTTATGATAATTCTGCTGCCTGAACCAAACCAATCAAATCCTCCAACTAATGTGTTTAACTGGTTCAGTTCATTTACATCATCAAGAATCAAGAGAATTTTTTTGCCCCTCAACCTATCCCTAATCACATTGATTCCTTTATCAACATTGGTCACCCTTAATTCCTTTCCCCTTAGAATCTCATACAGAAGACAATTTTGTAGTTCGACTAGGCCTCCATATGGTATTGATCTTTCTCTAACATCTTTCAAAAAACAACTAGCTTCAAACTTG